CAATAGGCAACATGCTTCGCTGTCGTTCGACAGCCATGGTGGGATGAGCTTTATGCAGGAAATCACTTCTAACACAGCGTGAACGTCACCAAGAAGCCTAGAAGAGTACGTTTTATAGCTTGTTCTTGAAAGGTATAATTTGGCGCCTATTTTGCCTCAACCGTCCCACAGGTTTTGGCATTCGGTGGCACGCACTGTCTGGAAGCTGCATGTGTCATGATTTTATCAGACTATTCTCTCTCCTCTCGTACTCTCTCCTTACGTTCTCCATTTCCATTGTCTCTCTTCTCTTTCTCTCTTCTCTCTCTCTCTCTCTCTCTCGTCTCTCTCTTCTCTCTCTCTACTCTCTCTCTCTCTCTCCTCTCTCTCTCTCTATTCCATCTGTGTTGTGTGTGCGGCGCGCGGCGCGAACGGGCATCTGCATGTGCGTGTGCGTGTATGGTATCACCCTTTCGTATGCCTTATAGTTAATCATATAAACACAACACGTTGGACATACCGATATTCTAAGGGATTTACATGCATCCGCTCTATAACAAGAAAAACTAACTCTTCAGATGCCCAGTTCTGCTTAGCACAGTGTGGAAAGCAAACAGCACAGGAATACATTTCAATTTTCGTAACCGAATGTGTATAAACACATGTATTTATCTATATGGTTGTAGATTTGTATGTATCTGTATCTACGGTAGATAGATAGATAGAGGTAGAAATTAGATATATTAGAAATTAGAAATATGCTTTTGTTCACAGAAGTGCGAATTATCATAACAAACCTCGGAATGTTAGAATACAGTATCTGCTATCCTTATCAAATCCTCCGTTTAGGTTTTCGCTTTTTTACACAATGATTTATACTTTGCCGTTTGGAAATTAAATCATGAAACCAGACCATAGACAGTAGCTTATTCAGAGAAATCACGAATCTTCGTTCCATCATGGAAGGCAAGGTGGATTTCTTTTCGTATCGATTTGTTTGCGGCCTCCCTCTCCTCCCTCATCTGCCCTCTCCTCCCTCTCTGTAGTCATTTATATATTTTGTCTCTCGGTCACCCTTTTCACGTATTCTTTCCTTTTTTTTTGCAATCGTAATTTGGAAATGTTTTCAAAATCAGGTTTCTGTGGAAAATTTCTTACAAGCTCTGTAATGGAACTGGGGCCTTTTTCTCTCTTTCTCCGTGTTGAAAACGTTTTCTGTATATGAAAAATTCAGGATGTTTAATAATCTTAGAAACTGGGAACAGCGAACATTCTCATAGTATTTTTTAAAAGATTTTTCTTTCCAATTTTACGTTACGTTCATAATTAGTACTACGAAAATTAGGTGCATCATTTTCTCTTCCATTCTATCTTAAATAGTTTCTTTATCACCTGGTTACATAATCTAAAAATCAATAAGATCTATATATTCTTTTAGAAATGCAAAATCACATCACACATAAATGCTGGCGCACATGTGCGCTTGGGCCTAAGGGCAGCATGTCACAATCAAAGGTTACGTTTATCGTACATCCCCCTCGCCTGGGGTTCTTGCGCTGGCACTCGCACATGTAAGACGCGCTTCCCGTATATTCGCGGACGCCGTCGCACCTGCGCCATTCTTTATGAGAGATTTGAAGCAAGCGATTTAGAAAGCTCGCTGACATGGCTTCGCCTAAGATGGATAAGTTTAGCCACAAGAAGCTGTTGCTCGGCCTCGAGCGAGCTAGCAAGGGTCTCAAGAAGAAGCTCGGGGAGAGCTTCTAGGTCGCCATGATTCCTGTCGTCGCCGACGCGCTCCTTCGTCTACAGGGCGTTCGAACTGAAGTCGGCCGACATCCCTTCTCCTCCTGTGATACGAACAGCGAAGAGAAAGCTGACATTTCTGCGAAAAGTAAGGTCTGCACCGCCCCTGCTGCCGTGCAGAAGGCGAAGTACAGCGAGGGCGCCAAGGACAGCTTCCTCGTGATCCAAAGCGACCACCATACCTTGGCCATGAGCACGCTGGCCTCGTTCAAGCTGAAGTTCGACAAGAGCTTCGGCGAGGCCAAAATGCAAGTGCAGGGCGGCCAGTCCCAGAACCGCTTTGCCAGGCTGGCGGAGGAGAGGCGCCTGAACCACCTGAAGGCGATGCACGAGTGGAAAGGATCGTGGTGGCCAGTCCGGGCCCCATCGTGCGTGGAGCTCGCGGGTGACCACGATCGCCGTGGGCGCCAGCGGACTCGAGCAGCCGCGTGGCCAGCTGCAAGGCCAGTGCAGAGGGAGAGGAAGGGGGAAAGTAAGAACCATAAGGGCGCCCAGAGAGGGACCGGGAGAGCCTAGCGCTCGAACGAGAGGAAGGGGCGAGAGAAGAGGAGAAGGCGGGAGATGGAGGAGGAGGAGAGGAGGTGGGATGTGGAGGAGGAGAGGAAAAACAAGGAGATGGAAGAGAGGAAGAACCGAGGGAGGAAAAGAAGCTCGGAAGGAAATGCAAGTCCAAGAACCACCAGTTAACGTCCTGCTTTGTCTAACGTGATTAAGAAAGAAATCAATATTATAACAAAAAAGGAAATAAAAGTAAAAAAAAATATATATACAGTATATATAAATATATTTACAACATAATGTACACACATACGTTTACGTGTCAATATGTGTACACATGTGCGTGTAAAAAGTGAAGAAAAAAATGAGAATAATGAAAAAATAAAAGTAAAAAGATTGTAGAAATATATTTACATCATACGACGCATATACGTGAGTGTGTGTGTTTGTGTTCGAGCGTTTGTGTACAGGGTCTGTATAAGTACTTATATAGACCTTGTTTGTATATACATGTGAGTGTGTTTGCGTATGTGTGCACACAGTGTTTGCATGTGTAAAAATATCAGGAAGGTCTCTGTGTTTATTTATTTGTGTGCCTGTGTGTTTGCATGAATGTGTGCGTCCCGCGTGCGTATGTATGTATGTAAAAACACTAAGATTTTTTGTGTATTTGTATGCGCGCGCGAGTGTAAACATAGGATTTTTGTGTATGTTTTTGTATGCGCATGTGTTTATATATCAGGGATATTGAGCATTTATGACATTACGCTGAGTGATAATTCGATGCTTAACCTAACGTAGTGTGGCGAGCCGAAAAGTAGCGCGTCGTAATATGGGCTTTAGGTTCTTTACAAATCATTCTTTTACTTATACTGATTAAGCTTACAATGCATAAGGATGCAAACATGACGTGGCTTCATGATGCATTATGGAACATCGGACAGGTCGACCATCGCGCTCAGGTGCGAGACGCGTCAAGGCGGGGAGCGAGAGGAAGAGGAATAGGAGGAAAGAGGAGGGTTACGGGATTTCACGATTTCTCTGGAGTCTAGACAACCACATAGAGACCCTCTGCTGTAGTGGCCTTTATTGGAAGGCACATGCCGAAAGCTAGTACTTAATGTCAGTTTTACTAGGCAGGTTCGAGCAGTTCATGCGGGAGTTGAGGCCGTCTTTTATTCCCCCAGACCTTTATTCCCTTCCGTTCACCTTGTGCCATTCGTGTTCCCTCGTCCAACCGTCACTCGCTGGCCACTCATATTTATCATATTCAAGGTCGGTTCCAGAGAATTTTCTGGTGGGGGGCGCAGGGGGTAACAACAGTAAATCTGGGGGGGGGGGGGCGCCTAAAAGTAACAAGAATTAAGGCTGCCCAATTCAACATTTATATTGTACAGTTACACATTGTTTTGTTTTCATCTTGCGTTTCCTGGCCACATTAAATCTGCTGGGTGTACTTTTACCAAGTGGTAGGCCAACACACAGAATGCCATGATGCTTGCTGTACAGTTAGTCAGAAGTTGGTGCTTCGAGCTCTGTACAGTGAACATAGCAGTGTTCTTGTGTAGTAAGTGATTTAACTGAGCACCACTTAATTCTTACAATGCAACGACAGTATTTTTTTATCTTTGCTTCCGTCTTAACATGCAGCGTCGGCAACTATACGCAATAATTAACATTACGACGAGTCAGTGACCATTGGGAGGCACACGGGGTGGCCAATGAGATTGTAGGGAGGGCGGGTGCCCCCGTGCCACCATGGAAGCCTCGCATCTGGTCATATGATGGAGTTTCTTGTGGCCCTGAGGGCCAGGCTTCTTACCTCAAAGTTAGCCATGATGTCTCAGTTTCTACGGTTAGGGGCGGAGGATTCGTCGAGGTCCATCAGCTTTCCATTTTGTACCTGCTTCTACTACAGTTGTGATGAATGAATATGTGTGCAACTTTAGTCCCTGTGGCTGTGCTTCTCTTCTCACTTGCTCATGATATTAGAGATGAGTGAGTTGGCCGACGTGAGATTGGCTTTCTCTGCTCTACACAAGTCTGATAGTGTGATCTCAGGCTTAGGTTGGCAACTAGCAGGCCGTTTACGTGTTATTCCATTTCCCTCGCCCGTTTGCCATCTGGTGATGTGACCTACTTCTAGCACAATAAACTTTGCTGTGTAGCCAGTGCGCATACAGGAATAGGCAGTTTTTATTATAAATTACACTGTGGTTTCTTCTCATAACTCAGATGCCACCTCCCACCTCTCCTTTTAGGCTCCTTTCCTGCACATCCGGATGCCGCTCCTGCTTTTCCAGTTTTCAGGGTAAACCTGTGGCTCCACACTGGTATGGGTGAGTGGAAGCTTGTGGAGCCTTTTACAAGTGAATTTTTTGCTTCCAGTGTCGAGGCAATGACCTGTGTCTCTTTCAATCAGGTCACTAGACCTATTGTGCCAGGCTATATTAACATACTGTTGCCATATATACATAGATTCCCATCCCTCAAGCTTCATCCTGTTGTCCAAGAATATCTGCAATGTATTTTTGCATGTGAATATGTTTCAGTAATAGTATATAACTGAGCTTCATGCCAGTACGCCAGACTCATGCAAGTATATTGCACAGTAAAAACAACTGTACCAACTAGGAAAGTTGCTATATCATACTGCATTCAGTTGTGCCATGATAGGTGACATGGATAAAAACTGTTAGTGTAAATAAAACACATTATACTAAATTGTCCTTTATTTTCCTTTGGAGTATTGGAGGAATTTCAAATACATAAAAAAGACAAGAGCTGCATCTTGAGCACAATACGACACAGCACAGCAGGTCAGAGCTGCCTTAATTTACATAGTATAAAAACTGCATCTTACAGACCTAAGCACTGTACTTGACTTTATACAAAAATTGTTTTACAAAATATGTACACCATTGACAGAGCCGTAAGTGACCCCAAATGAGGCCAGAACAACCAGAGGAACAGGTAAGAAGCCTACCCAGGAATGTAACTCTTTGTCACTTTGGCACACCTTAAATTCTTCAGGAGTGGGAATATAATATAAAATAGAGCCTAGAAGAGTCACTTGTCAAATAGGATTCTTTTTTATGTCAAAGCTCTAAAAAGCACAACAGGTCATCTATAAAAAATTAAAAATGTTTTTAGAGGATTCTTTTCTCTTACAAATCCCAATATATATTGTTCAATATACAGACTCTATAAAATTCTCTTTCTAACTCATTCTGTCTACACGTAAGCACTATCATAGGTCATACAGAAACTGTGTCAGGTTAGCCTATTTTCGCAAATCGTGCGATGAGTCGGTTCCTGGGTTTTTAGACAGATTAATTTATGGATGATTTAAAATTCATCCACTGTAACATTTAAGGCACCACCCAAAGAAATTTGGAGCACTTTTGAAAAATAAAAATTTCATTAAAAACTTAAACCTAACTTACTGATAAAATATAGCATAGCTCTAAATAGGAGCTGCCTCACTCAAATTTCTTTTACCAAACAATTGTGACTGACTCACAGCATTAGACTGATGCAACCTTGAACTCATAAGGTCATCATTTCTATGAGATATATTAAATTACCTTTGATTATTAACCATTTTATAATTTTTAAAAATAAGAAGTATAAATTAAATATGAAGGCTTACTGTTGCACATCATCCAGGTACAAAGACAATATTCAAGAACCTAGGCTCATTTGGTCCCTTAGAAGTTCTATAGAAATGGTTCGCTAAAGCAATGAAGATATTGTTTACCTTCTGACCTTCCGATGACATGCACTGTACACTCTGGAATGCTGTTCTGTATACTGTTTACACAGGCATTCATATTAAGTAACAACACCCCACTATATAGTTCATGGGAGCTCACCCCACATTTTACAATAAAAAATATTTGTACACCAGTTTTCACAGCACTGTCACTATATTCACTATTATATACATATTTTAAAATTTACTTTCCTATTTATGCACAATCTATATTTTTGATTTTCAATAAATTAATCAGTTTATTATAAACTTCTGATTAGGAAAGTAGCCAATATTTATTTACACACATACACACACATACAAAAGTCCTACAGCACCTTCATGTATTCCTGCGTCAGCACAATTCACACTTTGGAACCTGGCACTGTTAGTGTGGTGGTATGGTGATGTGGTGGTGGTGGCGGAGGTTTATGATGTGGCCCTGTGTAGTGGCTTGCAGGTCGATAACTTGACCCATAGAGGCCCTCTTGGTGGGGCATGTCACGAGTGTGCTCATTATGCCCTCTGTGCCCCATGTTTGACATAGTCTGTCCGTAGTTGCCCATCTGCCCTCCATGTGCAGAATGAGTACTGTGGACTGAGGAGCCAGAGATCTGTTTGTACATCATCATGTGGTGTGGCTGAGATACGCCTGGGAACAAATTGTTATTGTGGCCAGTGTTGTTATTACTAGCATCTGAAAAATAAACAAATAATAAATAAATAAATAATACTAATAATAAAAAAAATCATTTGTTTCAAAGTAGCACAGGAGAGAAAAACAAAATATTTAAGACAGTATTAACATAACAAACATGACAGCAAAATCTGCAAACTAACTTTTAGCAACGGCAGCAGCAGCGACAGGAGGTGGTCCAGGAGGAGGAGGGTGGTGTCTTCGTGGCAAGGACGTGCTGCTGTTGTCCTGTGCATGGGAGATCATGGCCTGCACACTCTCATACTCATAGTAATTGCTGACGGGGCGGTGCTGGTGCTCTCTCGCAGAGTCACGAGGCCCTCTTTGGCTCTGGTACTCACGCGCTTCCCGGCTGTTAAGGGTTCCACAAGTTAGAGTTACAGTTTCTCACTAGGTGGTGATCATAGGTTTATGGCAGTTTTAAAAGGCAGTCAATAAAAGGATGAAAGGAATCAAACCATGAAGCTAAAGAAACCTTATAGATCACTTCATTGTAAAATAAAGATTATAGAAATTCCAGTAGAAAAATGTATATGAACAGCAAAGAAAAATTATAGAAACTAAACATATCCATTTATGTGTCATAAAAGGTGAAGGATTGAATATAAATAATGATATATAAATATTGATAAATAAACATATCAGGCAGGAAAGTTTCAGAGCATTGTTAGTACTGTACAACTTGCTTGACAAAATATCCAATACAGAAACACTGCCAATATTAGTTTCTCTCATAAGCAGTTAACATAATCAATATCCGTGATCTCCTCATATAAAAGATTTTTTTTTCCTTTATTTTTCAGCTTAGCCAATCTAATTCTGACTGCAATGTGCACTGCATCTACTGTCTGAGTGCCAGGCCAGGTGTTACTATATGCTGTAACTCTCACCTGAATATAATTTATGCTGACAGTTTTTTTTTGATACCGATAGTAAGTTATAAAGAATAATGACCACAAGGCAAAATGAACTGCTATTTTGAAAAACGTTGCAAATCAAAAACCTACCTCATTCAACAGTTCATGGTTAGATATATATTATTGTGAAATTATGGAGTTTCATTCATTCTCACAAATTAATGCTCACATAGAAAAGCTAAAAGAAATGTAAGATTTCAAATTCATATTTTATATACAGGCTGAGTAGCAAAACAGCAATCAAAAGTTAATAACGTGAATCTACAGGCAGTTATTTATTTGTTTTCTTCATTTTGTTTTGGGAAAGCATTGTCATTCACTTTCATTTTATCAACTAAAGACAAACAAAACTTTTGAAAATCAAGAATATAAATGGCTACTTATAAAGGAGGGAAACTAATAAACTTAAATGAGGGGAAAAAAATCTAAGAGCAAAATAAATATCAACAAACATACAAAAAAAAATATATATATAAATACAAATAAGATTTATAAGTTATAATAACAAGTGCAACTAAAGCAATAAAACAAAATCAAATAAAAAGAAAGAAAAGAAATCAATTAGAAAGAAAACTACAGACAAATCAAAATAACAAAAGAAAACATAAAAACAAAACAAAAAACAAGAAGACACGCCCCCATCAGTCTCCTCCATATTTAAAACTGGCTCATGCATTCATATATACATGCTGTATACCTTGCAATTATTGATCTCAACGTTTTTCAATATTTCGTTGCCCAATCCACGGTAGTTGGGAGGTTTGTGCCGTCTGTGGGAGGTGGGACGAGGATTTCCTGCTGCGGCTGGTTGCATGGATACTGTTAGCACAACAAGGAACCAACAAACAAAAAAAAAAATTGTAGAAAAAAAAATATCCACAGGGTTTGGATTGTATTGGATGTACTCTAAGGTTTGGACCGTTTTGTCATGAATCGCCCATTGAATTTAGAGACATGGATAAGAGAAAATGTATTGCACAGATATCACTTGTGTTGTTTGGTGTCATGTGGCATGTGCATGTGCATGTGTATGTTTGCATGTGGCATGTGTTGTGTGTGTGTGGTTGTGTTTGGTGTCTTGTGTGTGTGGCATGTGTGTGTGTGTGCATGGTGTGTGTGGTGTGTCGGTGTGTATGTGTTGTGTGGGTGTGTGTGTGTGTGTGTGCGCAGCGTATGTGGTGGTGTGCGAAGTGTGTGTTGATGTGTGTTTGTGTGTGGTGGATTGTGTGTATGTGTGTGTGTGTGTGAGTGTTTGTGTGATGGTGTGTGTTGTTGTTGTGTGTGTGTGTGTGTGTGTGTGTGTGTGTATATGTGCGTGCGTGTATATGTGATATGTGCATGCGTGTGTATGTGCGTGCGTGTGATGTGCATGCGTGTGTATGTGCGTGCGTGTGTATGTGTGTGTGTGTGTTTGTGTGAGCTTGTGTGCCTGCCACATATGGTCAATTTAGCATGGATTTTTACTTATATGAAGGATTTATCAAGAATGAGCTTTAGAAGCTTTATCAACAGGTAAAATGAAAACTATAATAAATCTATAAGAAATTATAAGAAATTATAAGAAATTAGAGTTATCATCTCTTTGAAACGGTCACATTTTAGTGACATAAATGAATCTTATTTCCATCTTCAACATATCCATCACCCTGTTGATCACAAAATACCGAATGGTGATGGCAATAAAATAATGATATAGAGTATATTCCACTTTTAAGAATTCTGGGTTCCATCGAACCATATCTACTGATGTCCAAATAAAAAGATAATAAAGGAATATATAAAAAATATCTTTAAACAAGAAAAAAGAGAAAAAAATGGAAAAAAAAAGTTTGATATAAAGTTTTTAATGCCATCAACAGTCAGGAATATAAATAAAGGAAAAATCAACAATAAATATCCATCAAGACCCAACAACAGCATAATATCATAATCAAAAACAGGAAAACCCAAATCTGTTTCGCTCAAACAAGTATTCAGTGCAAATGAAAACACCAAACCATATATAGGAAAGACAACATAAAATAAATTAACAACTTGCTAATATATAAGCAATGCTAAGATCTTTTTTTCTTGAACTGCATAATCTCTGCTTCACTGGTAGAATGACTGATTAAAAGCTACTTGTAATACATGCAAACACACTAAAGTTGCATGGACCTTAATGTTCCCCAGCAAAAAGCAGTAAAGAGGAAAAAACAATAAAACAAAAAAAGAACATGAATACAACTTAAATTACACAAGCAGAAATTATGAAACAAGTACTACAAACACATAATGGGGTAAATATAGATCAGGTGCACTAGCACACACAATTTACTAAACTAATTACAAAAATGTAAGAAGGTGAAA